GAAGCCTGCGCGGGTACCTCACGTGTGGCGGGTCAGAGAAAAAAAAAAACAAAAAAAAAAAGAGTAAGAAGAGAGCTAAGAAAAAAAAAAACCGACGAACAACCGATTCCATCACGGTCATTTTCCGTGACATATTCCTCCTGTAACGGACACTTAACCCGCAAGCTGCGGTCGACCGTAGGCATCTCGCGTGAGGCAGCGTGTCTCCAGGGTATAAATTCAATATTCCTCGGGTGTCCTCGCGCACTGGTCGAAAAGCCCGACGTTACGGGAGAGATCCCGTAGGGGAGGAACGACGGGGTAGAAAAACAAAGCGAGCCCGCACCGAATCAGCCTGCAGCGGAGACCCGTCGTCGACCGCAACAGAAACTTCGATGGCTTCCCCGCTGTTGCCCGATACACGGGCCCTGGATGTGTCTTTTTATTCCCCATCTCTCTATCTCTCTCTCTCTGTCCCCCCTATCCCCTCCTCCTCCCACCCTCGAGCCCTTCCTTGGCTTGCGAGCTTCTTTTTTTCCCCCTTTTTCGTTTAATTACATCCTCGATTCGGCGGAAAAAACTCGGTCTCGTCGCAGGATCCCATATGCGCAAGGCAAGGTGCATCGTCCCTTTGCGACAGACTTTCGAAGAGAAACGTGACGCGAAGGTATCTGACGTCTGCCTACGATCGACGGGAATACGTAAGGTCGAGACGACTTTTATTCCAAACGAAAGCATTGTTTTCCGCGGGCCGAATCATCCCGCGATAACGATTGAAATTACGATTGCAATCGTTCCGGAGTGTATAGCTAAACCGGAAGACCACGTTACGCGTGAATTTCGCGTAATGCGTACGTCCGTCGAGGTCGTTGGTTTAACACGTTGACTGGCCACGGATTCACATGGAAATGTTTACAGAACTGAAATTTTGTCTGGGGACAATTAGAAATTGTAGATTCTAACGTTTGTCGTATTACTTATTTTTGAATTTTCATGGAAATTTACGAATTCTATCCAGACCTGTTTTCATCGATACTTAGTCCTTCAAATTATTTATTAAAATTCTTTGGTGAAAAGCTCCGTCACCCGGATGTGGGCGACGTGGCGGGGAGAAATACAAATAGCAACATTGGCGTGTACCACCGGTGGCTCATACTATTATGTCCCATCGGGCGGCGTGAACCACGGGTGGCTCACTCTTGCGTACATATCAGATGGCGTTGTACCACCGCGCCGCCCCATGGCGAGAAACATAAACAGCATCGCCGCACAGTGGGCCGGATTGAAAATTTCCGTGACATTTCGGTGTAACTTTTGAACTATTAAAGATATCAAAGTGCGGTTCGCACAGAAAAATATTAAAAAATTCTCTCGTTTTGATAATGTGTTGAAAATGTTGTAGTAAAATCTCCCGATCCAGCAGCCCGGCGTGAACGTGTTAACGCGAGATACGGTAAGCCGTGTCGTGCGAATTATGACACGTCGCGTAGCTCGCGTTGATTACAGCTACATGTATTTACATATTTCCTATGCAGGCGATTCTGCCAGCAGTGATTAGCGAGGAGAAAGTAGATCGCGCATTTGTTTGCAAACAAATCGTGACGTTCCTACTCGTGTATCATCCGAATAATATTTTTCTCGTCGCTGTACCCTGACGCGAGCCCTGGGGATGTGTGTTCGTTGCGAAAAATTCGAGTCGACTCCCACGCGATCGCTCGGAGCGAAAATAATACGGACGAACGATCGCTACGAGAAAAGAAAAAGATATAGGAACCGGACGATCGACTTATATTCATCATCTGCCGGTTCCTCCGCGTCCGTGTAACGTACACTGTCCGGGCTACTCGAATTTCCTAATTTAACGTGTTTACTATGTTGGCCCGTTCCGGGCATAAATTGGTATGTTTATCACGGCGAGCGGAGTGTCGCGCGAGAATTTAACGTCGCCACTCACGAGTTAATCGTACGGTAACTCGATATATCTTGAATCTTATATAAATATATGTATATGCGGACGGTTACGCGTAGAGCATTCCTCTCGCGATGCCTCGCAGTATGCGAAAATCGCGTCAGCATGTTCGCTCAGCGTTTCTCAAACATCGGCCCGCCTGGAAGCCGAGCACAGGAATTCTTAGACACTATTCAAAGTTGGCAGAATTTAATGTATCCGAACAGTTTCCGTAACACGAGGATTTTAACCCTATCGATATCTTTAAAGATGCGATTAAGCACGATTTCACTGTAGGTCCAGAAGAACCCTTTCTACCGAACAATAGTACCGGTATATTTAATAAAGGTAATGTTCCTTTCTCATTAGATACAGAATTAGAACGGATGCGAAAAGTAACGGGTTCCATCGTAGGGGGTCCGCGAGAAAGCTTGGTTTGAGAAGCACTGCGCCAACTAACATATCACTCGTAATAAAGATACGTAGTTACAAGCGGGCGGCGTGTAACTGGTCGCGCGGACGGTTACGTAAGAGAAGCTGCGAGATCTGGAGCCGTCCGTGCATAAGGAATGCTCATTAATACGCGTTACGTTGTTCTTCGACCGATGATCGTTGTATTTTATTGCGCTGCCGGTCGCGGGACCGTTCCCCCCGCGGTCAGTTTAATTTCACCGCGCGGAAAATTACGGACGAAAATCCACGGCCGCGCGTGAAATGTTAAACCGGACCCCGCGAAGATCAAGGACAACGCGAACCGGTGATTACGCGCGATGAGTTTTATTAAGGAATCGCGGATGCTCGTTAACGGTTCTCTGCCAATTATGCCCCCGTGTTTTCGTAGTCGGCCAGTCCGTTTCGTCGCGGGGTTACGAACCGATGTCAAAAACGGTTAGTCGAACTTGAAATTCATACGCTCGGTCGATTACATTTATATTACGACCAGTTGTGCCCCGCGTGAAATACTATTCTTATTTTATGTACGACTCGTCTTAAGAAAATAAAAAAAACATCTATTACGTTAGCGTTTGATTACATTGGTCGATGAGTTATGGAATTAGTGTTGCGTTAACCCCTTCCCGTACTATTTAACTCGACGAGACTCGGGCGGGAAAGCGATATTTATGTTTGTCCCGGCTATTTGTTTACGATCCTGGCTCGTGATATTCGTGTTTGCGCGAAAATCATGATCACGAGACTCGTCGCATTCGGACTCGTCAAACTATTCCAAGGAGTCGATAATAAATTACTTTTCCTCTCCTGTATTCTAGTAAGTCGGTTTTCAACCACTGTCGTTCGATCTATGATCGAGGACCTGCGAGTTTTTAAATTCATTTCGTATCATAACTCGGTTCACCGCAACGCTGAACGTTGCGTATGTGTACGCGGGCTGTGTGCCCTAAAAGGGAATGGCGCGTTAGCGTTGGTCGCGAGCGAACGTTCACGAAGTCTAAACGATCGAAAAACGATCGAGCCCGCGACCGTAAGCCCGAGTATTCGTCGTCGAGGCTGGCTTCGACGTGGACATATCTACGACTCGGCGCGGTCGTCCAGGGACAGACGGTGTCGTGGCACGAGAAAACAAAGCTATTAGTCGTAAGAACCGTAGATATATATCTTATTGTCTCCGGCCGCTAGACGGAATTACAGCGTACCCTTTAGTTGCGCCGTACCCTATGGGAATCCATTCGGCGGAGCGTTATTAACTCGACGGAGATTCTCGTAGCTGGCTCTCGTAGGACGTCGCGTTCGCCAAAGGCAGGTTCTCCTCGGACTTGCCGCGACATTCGGCATTAAATAGAAAATAGCGAAGTACGTAAACTGTTCGTTATTCGACGAATAAAATACGCAGTTCGCACCGTGGTGGTATACGAAAATTAACGGCGGGGTCTGGATGTCTTTCCGGGTATAAGGTTCATCGAGGCTAACGATATTTTACGAGCGCGTAGCTTCTAGATACGAAGAGATATTTCAACCGAGTCACCTCGAACGCCCAACGTTAGGCACGACCGATCGAGCTACACCTCCGATTTCCTAAATATCTTAATCTCGTCAGGGCACGGAACGCGAACCAGGAAAAAATTGCTGTACAGACAGCACCGGGGAATTATTAGTAGATATATATCTTATTGTCCCCGATGGGTACACAGAATTCCGTAGGTTTAAGGCCCGAGCTGGTCGTCGTCTTCGTGGTCTATGGGGGCCCCCACGAAGATACGTTATTAATCGGGCGATGTCAGTGGTTCGACCCCTCATAGAGAACCCATAGGACCTCGTTCGGTAAAAGGTAGGACGATGCGAAGAGAGGGGAGTGGGCCCGAGTATCGGTACGTAGCTGAACAAGGAAGAACGGTAGGGACTCGTCGGGAGCGAGGGAGTCCGCGGCCTGAGAAAAGACAGAAGAAGCCTGCCGTTGGACGAGAGAGGGAAAGGCCCAGCTGGCGAGAGCGAGAGGGGAAAGACGAACGGAGAGGGGGCGTGGGGCAGAGCAGGGCGAAGGGGGAAACAGAAGAATGGGACTCACTTCGTGCATGACCCAAAGAAACCCCCGCTGAGCGACTCGATCCGATCCGCTGATCCCCGACCGCGCTGACGCAGATACCATCTTTCCTTGCACTCCGAATGCTCTTCTCCGGGCGTTTCTTACCGCCCATATACCTCGGCCCTCTCTCCGCCGTCTCCTCGCCTGTACCCTTTGAGGAGCAAAGAAGAAGGAATATTCTATCCGAGACAGCTATATGACCGCACTGATTTGTCTGCTTATTGTTGCCGTTCCCGTCTCCTTGTTCCTCGATCGTGACGATGACGCGACCGTCCCCGCGAGGCGGGCATTCCTCCCGCGAAATTCGCGACCCGACTCGTACCTTATTCCCTCGGCGCAGCATCCGAGACGGAGCCCGAGCTAACCTCTCTCCGTTCGACGACGAGGGTTCGATGACTGTTCCCGTTCAATGATCAGCCGCCTCGACCGTCTTAGACACACCTGAACGTTTTCACGGAACGAGACAAGAATTCGGAAGGTTAGAACATCGCTTCGACGTTGTCGCGGACGATCGGGTTACTCCCGTGCTCAACGATGGTGGAATCCGGCAGAACTCTGAAAGAAGCAAATAATAGAAGCGTTAGTAGAAGATGTTAGACTAGCGGGGATTTGTTGGAATTATTGAAATTACAGCTTTCTATAGACACAGTTTTATATGTAGGATGATGAGAAGATTTGTATAAACAGTTTTCCCGTGGTTCTATTCGTATATCTTTCAGGTAATCCTCGAGGATTCTACGCCAGCAGTTTTTATGGAAATACGTGGTTACTTATGAATTTCGTATAATTTATACATTCGCAGAGGTCGTTGAGCTGCTACCGGGTTTAACGCGATACACGATAAGCTGTATCGCGCGAACTATGCCTTGGGATACGTCGTTTGGCTTGAGCCGTCGATAGATGGAAACGCAATTAACGATACGGTGGCTTCCTATGGTCGGTCGTTGAATGGATGGCCCATTCCGGAGAATCTTGCGTAAATTCAACAACTGTACCTTTGGCTTTCGCTGACTCTTCGTTTTTTCAAGCAATATCGATCAAATTGCACACGCAATGGTGTAAAATGTATTAAGAATGGTCGTTGCATTGTTTCAAATAGATGTTTTACAATTATCGAAGACTGTACCAGCTATTCACTGGAAAGTTTAACACGCGGGCGTTGTTCTTGTTTCTTGCCATGGGGCGGCGCGATGGTACACGCCATTCGATAGACGCGCGAGAGCGAGCCACCGGTGGTACACGCCGCCGATCCGGCGTGAACGTGTTAAATACGGGATTGTCCGGAAAGTCCATGCCGATTTTCGATAGGTGGTGCGGGTCTGAATATGTCGACGTGGCTGAAAACAAATAACTACACAAATAAACAAAATATGACCGCACTGATCGCTTCAAAGGAAATGAATTTAAATGAAATTCGTGTATTTTGGATGAAGTTACAAAAATAAATACCACGACGGATGTTTGATTATGCAGTTTCCAATAGTCTCAAGTAATATTTAATCCTAGCAGAAATTTTCAAGAATATTTCTCTGCCAGGCAACGTGTTAACACGTTCGCGCCACCCAATGGGACATACAAGTAGTGTTCGTAAACAAATAAATAATAATATATATGTACATCCTTTAAAAGGTGGAAAGGTTGTGGAACGAAATACTACCTGTGTAATTCAATAAATATACGTATAAATAAATGTATATTACAATTCAGACGTGCGTTTGAAGTTTTCTTTAAAAATTGCCACGAACTTTCTGGACAACCTAATAGCTTCGGCAAAGGCTCCACTGTTCGATTTTGTTAATTTTACGCGACGTACTCGATTAGTGGCATTCGAGTTCAAAGCGGTTAGAGCAAGCTACGGAGTCCCGCGTTGCGAAATAATTAAAAAGTGAAATTCGTTCGGAACCGACGCCTCGGAATCGTGGGTTTCTCTGACGAGACAAGAGCCTGGCTATTGTTTCGTCATCTTGTGCGTACGACCCGTGGCACGCCTAGACGATTAGAGAGCAATAATCGATGGCACGCACTTTATCAACGACGGGCCAGGTCCGACTAATTATTAGGAAGATCGATGCGTTTGGCTAGCGATTACGTAAGCTCGGATACGCATGCTCCAAGTATTCATTTCTCGAAGACGTCGTCCGCGTTTGGCGTTACACGCGTCCCTCGCCAAGGGACGGTATTAACGAAACCATGGAAGTGAATAAGTATAGTTCCATACGAAAATCTATTCGAGAGAAATTAGACGACTCGCGCAGGTCCCGAAAGTGCCTCTGATACGAAGAGCGAAAGTTGCATTAAATTTGTTATCTAGTTGACGAGTGATAGGTGAACGTGTACACCGATGCGACGGTTTTTCAATAGCGCTACCACCGTTCTCCCGACCGTTTCTGTGATACAGTGGCTTCTGGTAGTCGCATAAACCTTGGCCGCTGACGTGACTGACAATTTAATGAAATGAGACATGCGCGCAAGTCGGATCGAAAAACTAACTTTCTCACGATTCTTCGCATGCATACCGTGACTTCGGCGCAACAACGGCCCGTAGATTTATATTGATTGCGCATAATTATATCCTGGCGACCGACAAAACCAACGTTGGGCCCTCTCGTCGCGATTTATCGTTTACGCGCGCCTTCGCTTCGCGCGAAGATCGGACTCTACTCGATTGAAATACGTCCGATCGAAACGTGTTGATTAATTTCTACTCGACGGTTAATTCTCCCGATTGTTAATTTTACGAGCAACTTCGCGAACGAAGGAATCCCAGCTGACGCACGCGGTCCCTTTAACACGTTGATCGCCACGTCGCCCATATGTGGGCGACAGTGAAGAACTAAAAAAAGTTAATTCCGAAAGTTAAGCTTCAAAGGAAATGAATTTAAATGAAATTCGTGTATTTTTGATGTATTTTGGATTTTTTGGTTTCCAATAGTCTCAAATAATATTTAATCCTAGCAGAAATTTTCAAGAATATTTCTCTGCCAGTCAACGTGCTAACACGTTCGCGCCACCCAATGGGACATACAAGTAGTGTTCATCGAATCCAGCGTAGTTTCAGACAAAAATTCGTAGATCGAGTCGACCTGAGCATATCCTCCAAGCTGTGAATGACTTTCGTAGGACGACACACCGTTGACACAGTGTTTCCATGTTTCCCTGTGATCCGACACGAATTTTTGAATTGCAGGTTCGCGTGACGGTTCTGGACAAGAACGACGTGGCACCCACCTGGGGCCCAGGCACGTGGAAATTCGAAATTTCCGAAGAAGCGCCTCCGAACACCGAGGTAACGATCCTGAAAGCGTTCGATCCGGACACGATCGGGACGCTGACTTACACCCTGGTGCCGAATCGTCGTCTTGATGGGAACCAGGACAACTACGTGCCCTTGGACGAGGGCCAGTTCAAGCTCGATCCGACCACCGGACAACTGACGCTCGCGGAGGCCCTCGACAGAGAGACCAGAGAAAAATATGTCCTGAAAGTCCGAGCCGATGATGGATCCCAACACACCGACGTCACGTTAACCATCCAGGTAGATTTCTTCTCCGTTAGCGTGTTGCGCTCCTCGCTCGACCTAATTTTTTACTCGGCGATCGCGGCTCCGATTGAAAAGGTCTCGTGCAGCTCTCGCTTTTTCGCATTTTCAGATACGCCCGGCTGATCGAATTATTACGGCCACTTCGGAATTATTACGCGAGCCCGGGATTGCAGTAGAATCGAAAATATCCTTTGCACGTTGGATAGAATAATACTTGAACAATTAATTGCAACTGTAATCGTATCTTTACGTACTTTTCTTTTTTATTAAAAATCACAATCGAATAATAACTCAAGAATATTATTACAGAAAATATACCGTTATTAATATTTTCTGTATTTGAGTTTTGTTTTGAGTACTACAGTATTGGAAAGGACCACCTTAATCGAACGTTGAATGAGAACATTCGCAAGAGTTTTCCAGTTCGTAGAACCGATAATCGAACGCGATACCGTGTTCAACGAAGTGGCCATCGCGAAGTTGCTACGTCGCTTCTCTTGTTCCGCGAGAAGAATAGAGAAGAAACCCCGTCCGAGGTTTCCGTATCGACGAAGTTCTGTCGGGTACCGTTGAAGACTGATTATCCCATAATTACACGCGACGCTACTGTTATCTCGGCCATTATGACCCCCCCCCGTTCCGTTACTCCAGCACTATTGATTAGTACCGAATCAATTAACAATTATGATAAATTGATCTCGGGAGAGGCAGGCCACCGTGCGCGCAACAACGACGCGGTTTTTCGAGAACGCGTTACCATGTTTGGCAGAGCCGTAATTAGAAATCGTACGGGATAGAAATTTTCTCTCCGACTCTCCCGCGGTGGTTTCAGTTCCGTTTCTATTATTCGAGGTCTTGATTATTCTTATACTTTCCCTAATTTATAGTCGCCGTTTGAATTTTCCCGGATGACCGTCGTGGACAGGGAGCGCGTCGCGAGACGACGCGGTTTCCCGTGCGTTCCGCCTTGTAATTCATTACGCTGGCGGAGCGAAACGATTCGCGGCCGATAAAAAACGTCGAGGAAAGGACGGCCCCGGTCGTTTAACGAAGGTAGAGGTTGATCCACGGTAGCAGCGGTGGCTGGGACAGGGCAGGGCCCGGGATCCTTCGGAGACAATCGCAAAAATTATCCTTATGACGTGTAATGGCTGGGAATTCTTTTAAGGTTCTCGCTGACCGCCGTCCGCTATTCTATCCGGGTCTCTTAAAGGCAAAAGGAATGCCAGTCCCGATCATAGCTCGGCTCTTTGGGACTCCATGAAAGAGGCCCGCTGCCGACAGTTGCGGAATCTGCCCCTTCTGGCCCCTTATAACCCCCCCCCCCCTCCCTCCTCCTCCCACCGCATCTCTCGACGACCATAGAAGAGTTCCTCTCCTCCTCCTCCCGTCAAGAACCTCCTCCCCCTCCCGTGCGATCCTTGTTCATCTCCGTTCCGTTCCTCTTAGCGGCGTTTCGTTCTTCCTCTTTCGTCGTCGTCGACCTCTTCGTCGTCTTCCTCCTCCAGCTGGTGCTCCTCTTCTTCTCCGTCGTCTGCTTCTTCTTCTTCTTCTTCTTCTTCTTCTACTACTCGGTCATCGTTGTCTCTACTCTCCTTTCGGTTCCCTCCTCGTCATCCAGCGCGTCTCGGGGCAACCGTCACTTTTTGCAAACGTCTCCGAACCCTCCTTAATCAAACCGTGCCCACCTCCGCTTTATTCTTTTATACCGCCACCGCGTGTCGATCCCACTCGACGCTGGAAACCTGTTCACCGGACGTACACACCGTGCCCCGACTTCCGACCGGCTCGCTTTCTCTCTTTCTCTCTATCCCCCGGGAGCAAAGACGTCCGCGACACGCAAACCTCCCCCGGATAGAGAATCGCTATGGAGAAGAGGCTGCCACTTACGAGAACTAGCCGGACCGCGATACGATTCCGCGCGGGGCCAATCGACTCGTACAATCCCGAGACGTCCTACCCGAAACCGTCTCGCGGGCTTCCGTGGAATTTTAACGGACGAACGGGACGCGAGGAATGCACCGCCTGGATGCTTCCATCGGGACCTCTGGGGTGTCGCGGCCGAGCAATATTCCGCTCGTATTTGACAAAATGTTCAGCGCCGTCGCCGGCGGATCCCTGGGAGACGAGTAAAATTGGCCGATCTTGTGCGGTGGATGGCTTTCTTCGGTCTACAGGTATCCCACCCGTAGCTTTCGATCGTATTCAGAGGGGCGGAGCCCGAAGTTCAGTGGAAATATTCTTTACCAACGGGAATTCCTTCGTCAGCGATTCAGATTTTACTTTACTGCCGGTGTTACGTTTCTATTCATCCCGTTCGATCGCGAACTTTGGCTTCGAACGAAATGTACGGGTTGTCCCAGCTGAAGTGATACGGAGCTCCAACTCCAAAACTATCGGTCGAATGCAAAATTTGAAATATGGAAATTGCGTGATAAAATGGGGCTCATGCTTCAGCGAGAAGGAATTTTGTGTTAACTTTGTTATTTAACGAGATATGATGGTCAAATTTCGTTTTTCAAATGGAACTACATACTTTTTTTTTTTCTTTTTTTTTTATACCACGCGATAGTACCTTCCAAGACGAATTCATTAAGCTGTAATGTATTTACCCGATTTTTATTAATTTTCAAGCTATAACGCTTCGAAGTTTGCTAATTTTTAAGGAAAAAACTCGGTTCGGTCTCATCGATGCAGTATGCACCACGCGGTTCTTGAAATCGATACAGAGGGTCTCGTTTGGGATTCTAGACCCGGAATATTGGGATCCTTCCCATTTTCCTTCCTTGGGCAAAGGTGACCCGATCTTCAAATCTCAAATTAGAGATCTCATTTTCGTAGTCAATCTAACCTTAGCATTCGCGACAACAGACTGGTAAGAAAGCATCTCGAGTTGCTGATAGATACCAGAAAAAAAGGCCTCGAGTGCAAAGGGTTAACTTTTCCATTTCCCCGTTCGTAAGCTAATCCCAGAAACGGTCGCGGAACGATAACGAACGAACGCATCTCCTTCGGACCCTTTTATCGTTCTTCGACTATCAAAGCGTAAGTAAACTTCGGAATGCCTTATTACGCTGATCCACGATTTTCGAGCCACGCTTCCGAGACTAACAATAATTAATTACGGAACGCCCGAAGAAATGTTGTTAGAAGAATTGTTGCAAGAGCCAGCGCCACGTGAGACTCGAAAGCGAGGCGCAACCGGTTGTCTCGAGCGCCGATTGAAATATGTTTATTCAAGAACGACGTTAAGTGCGATCGAAAGGGAACAGGAAGCGTCAGGTTCGATTCCGAATTGTTTATCTTGACTCGCTACCTTTCTCCTCCTTCTGATCAGGCGAGGAATGGCGTTCGCGTGATCGTCGAGTACCTTCCCGGAGAAAGATCAACTAAACGCGAATCGCAATGGTTATTGTTATCGTTAATCATTCGCGATTCAAAGCCTTCTTTGGGACGCATCCAGCCAGGAAAAATAGAATCATACGCATATCGCTTTGCATAATATTGTTCTTATTCCCTCTTAGGTATTATCATTCAATCCTAGAGGTTAGATTGATCGAAAGCCATGGTTCAAATAAAAACATACCCGTCTTGACGCAGATCCGAGAAATGCTGGAAGTACCTTCGTCTCAACCCGAGGAGCGTCAGTTCGACGCGCATGCCCGAACAATTACTGTACCCCTGTATAAGTTTGAGGTCGAGCGACCGAAAAATCAACGACTACTCATATCACAAATTTAATTTAGCAAATAGCAATTGGAATTACCCCGACCTAAGCTGCCTAACATGCAATCTGAACGTATCGTTTTGGTTTCCAGGTGACGGACACGAACGACAACGCGCCCACGTTCCAGAGTACCGCGTACTCGTTCGACGTACCGGAGAACATGCCCAGGGGTAGTAGAATCGGTCAGGTCGTCGCGACGGACGCCGACGCCGACGGACCCAACAATCAATTGAGCTACACGCTGATATCCGATTGGGCGAACGACGTTTTCTCCCTGAACTCCAGCACCGGCGTGTTCACGCTCACGGCCAGCCTCGATTACGAGCAGGTTCGTTAACACAATCAATTGCGGCGATATCGGTCGCTCCGGCGCAACGGTATTTAGAAAGTGTAAAGGGTATATCGCGTGTCCCGCAGAATTTTTGCACGACTCGAGGCTTTCACGGTGTCTCGCTTTCACGTTGACGTTCGAATTCACCGCGGTCGGCGATCATGAGATGCGACCGTTACTCGTAAATCGACGTCCTTCCCGCGTCCTAAGCAGCCTCGTGTCCCAACGAGCGCCGGAGAAGACAGCGATGCCTCCAAGTGGCTACAATTAATACCTAAATAATACATTCGGTCGTCTATCCATAGACTCTATAGTAACTACTAATAAAGTCTCCTTAAATGCACAAATTTCTCTGCGATAAACGCACGAGTTCACTACCGAGCTTGTGCATTTAAGGAGACTTCGCTGTATACAGGAATAGCCAAGATTAATTAATCTTCGGACGAAAACGATTTTACTTCAAGCTCGTCCACTGGGACCATTATCGAGTAATTAATTAGGAGACGTTTCGTAAGAAAGATTAAACGTTCCCTGGGTCGAAGGGTTTGAGCGACAGGATTTTTGGTACGGTGGTCCGATCGACAGAGGATAGATCCACGTACGGTAAAACGGCGTAGCTGCCCGAGGCAACGATTATAACCATGAACACGCCTCTGCGTTCAAGCTCGAGCGTACCTATTATATTAGCTTTCGACTAGAAGGCAACGTTAGAATTTAGGGTTTAGCGCTAACAGTCCGACAGATCGATCAACAGACGTTTTTAATGGCAGTTCTCTGTCTACGATCTCCGAGACAAGCCATACTTTATACTCCGCCAGGGCGTTCGCGTACGCTCTACTCGACACACGTCCCTCCGTTGAATGCTCGATAGCGATTCCTCGATAATTAAGATATCGGTGTACGGATAACTCCGCGACGCTAAACAATTTTCTAGCGTACCTTGTCAGATTTTTTCTCGCCAAAAATTTTTGCTGACAATGAGACTCGAACGCGACAGTTTCGACCCTGAAGACCCTCATTCGCTCTCCGCTTGTATTTATCGTATCCATAAATCTGAGACAGAATAATATCGGTGCGAACGAAAAGTTGGTGCGTTTCGTGGTTTGTAAACGGTTTGTCGATTAGGAGGCTGCGCCACCGACGTATATATTACGGTACAAGGCGGGCTAACGTTCTCGTTATACAAGGATGCAGAGGTGTATTAGGCGTTTAGACGAGGAGCGACAGGGGGAGAAGCTGCATAGAGAGAAGGGCAGTTTATAGAACCCTTCATCACGCCAGTGCCTTTTCAGAACCAGGGCGGGATCATTACACGACCGCGGGAGCATTTCACGGTTCGCTCGGGGAAGATTCGAGAGTGCATTGGAAACGGAGAAACAACACGGTTATTTCCACGAAACACGTATTAGTCCCAGCGCGAAATGGCTAGGCGCGGACCGTAAGAGAACCCGATACAGGCGGAAGCGTCTAACAAGAGCAAAAGGGTTTCCGTAAAACTCACTCGAGAGAAAGCTGTTCCCTCGGAACGAGTCGAATTTCCGATGCGAACTTTTCGTCCTTTTTTGTTTCTTTTTTTTTGCATCCAAGAGACCCTACGCAGCTCGTACTTTGGCAACTATTAGGTATCTAGTTAATTAGCTATCATTGGGATCGTTAAACAGGGTGTCGAATTTCAGGAACACGCGATACTCGACGAAAACAAATTCATGGAACGACTCGGGGTACTTCCTACCTAAAGCAGTACCACAAAGCGGTTGTTCCGTGAATTTATTAGGTTGTCCAGAAAGTTCGTGGCAATTTCTAAGGAACATTCAAAAACACGTTCGAGTTTTAATATATATTTATTGAATTGCATAGGTGCCATTTTGTTCCACAACCTTTCCACCTTTTAAGAGGTGTATGTCAAGGTATGCATGTTACTTGTTTTCAACCATTCCGGGACTTTCCGGACAACTCAATATTTAATAGAGTGCATTTGAAAATAAACAGGTAACGATTAATGACCGTGCCGTTACTTGAGTTATGATTCATTGAAATCCGAAACTAAACGTAGAGAATTTGCGCAGTAACAGTAACATTGATTTATTATGGATGCGTGCGATAGCAGTTAGACTGTACTTTTACGAAACTTGTGGTACAAGCGAGTAGAACGGTGATTCTACGTGAAAAAATGAATCGAAAATGTAGAATAAAATTTGTTCACGTGACGGTTTCATATAGCTTCGATTCGACGGATTTACATTCGCTGTTCGGATTTACTGTTTCGATTTAATCGAGGATTAAATATTTTATTAAATTAAAATCTAAAAAATTTTGAAAATATTTTTTAGATCGACAAATTACACGTATACGTATCATTTTTACTTATTAAATAATTAAGTGATATCCGCTAATTTTGATCATTTAAAAATGAGTGAATCCTCAAGATTTCTTCTTGTGCTCATCATCTACAATGAGATCCGTCGAGCTGAAAGTTGGTCCAAGTGCGCGCGTACTCGACAAATTGTCAATATTAAATTCAGAAAATTCAGAAAATTCGGAAACTTTCAATATAAAGTTCAGCAAACATTTTCTTTCTGAATTTTCACCCCGTATTTTTGAACGTGACAACTACCTCAACGATTTTGTACAGGTGCAACATTACATCCTGGTGGTCCAGGCGACAGACGGCGGTATCCCTGCGCTTTCGTCGACGGTGACGGTTTACTGCAACGTGGTGGACCTGAACGACAACGCGCCGATTTTCGAGGCAGGACCTCACGCGGCGGATATCGTCGAGAACACGACGATAGGCACCCAGATCCTGACGGTGGTTGCCCAGGATCTCGACTCGGGCGATAACGGCAGGGTGATTTACGCTGTGGCGGGCGGTGACGAGGACGGGGACTTCGGGGTGGCGTCCAACGGCACCCTCTTCACGCGGAAGCTGCTCGACAGGGAACGCAACCCTCTCTACAATCTGGTCCTGAGCGCCACCGACAGTCCTCTGCCACCAGCGCGACCGTTGTCGTCCACTGTGCAGGTTCGTTCACTCCACCGTATAATAAAGTATAATAAAGTCTCCATAAATCCACAAAGTCGGGACCGAACGAGGATACGTACAGCTGTCGGATCGACCTCACAGAACGAGGCCAACGACACCCGAACCCATTTTTATCCTACCTAATACTTTTCAAAACAAGGAACCTTCAGTTCGACGCTTTCGACGCCAGATACATGTATACTCACGAAAATATTTACGAAGCTAAAATTTTGTTCTTCTCCAATTGGGAACTATATAATTTAACATTCGCGTTAGTATCTAGTTTAACAACTTGGTCAAAATTCACAAATCCTATCCGGACTTGTTTACTTTAACATCTGATCGTCAAAATAAATTTTTGTAATTCCTTTGGGAAAGTCCCTGTCACCCATATATGGGTGACGCGGCGATCAACGTGTTAAATGGTAAAAATTTCGTCATCGATTCTTTTTTTTTTTTCTTTTTTTTTTTTTGTATGAAGAGAGATTAATTTCAACGATCTAAATCGCCCCCATCGACAGGTCACAGTGGTGTTGCTGGACGTGAACGACATGTCGCCGGAATTCATATCGCCTACGAAGATATCGATAATAGAGAACGCGGCGAGCAACACGGTGGTGATGGCCATTAAAGCCGTGGACAGGGACGAAGGACAAAACGGATACGTGGAGTACTCCCTGGAGGACACGACGCTTCCCTTCACCGTCGGCCCCGTGGACGGGCTGCTGCGCGTATCTGGCTCGTTGGATCGCGAATTAAGGTCAAACTACACCTTGGAGGTAACCGCGAAAGACCGCGGTAAACCGCCGAGATCGTCCTCGACCACAGTCACTGTCACGGTCCTCGACGAGAACGACAATTCACCGGTTTTCGACCCTCGACAGTACTCCGCCACCGTCGCCGAGAACGCCAGCATCGGGGCCAGCGTTCTTCAGGTTCGTACAGGTTTCCCTTATTTTACAACGAGGACAACATTACACGAGTAACGCGTACCAATCGTCCACGAAAAAGGTGGCAAGTGATCAAAGTGGCAAGCACGTTGGGTGTGAATTGGTCTGTTTGAAGAGCATCGAATAATATTTGACGAGGCCCGTGACCGTCTCGTGATCGTACCCTAGGTGTGAATCATCTTCCGCTTAGGTGCCTTTCTCGCTTTCTCTCTCTCTCTCGCCCTTGGCTGATTCCCTACTTAACGAAGGTGTGAATTGTACAGAGAACTACGAGCTCACTTAACGCGAATTCAATTGGCAATTACTCATCGGAGGAGTTAGAAACGCTGCATCTTACCAACGCAATGCTTGATATGATTTTACAGGTGTCGGCGATGGACCGAGACGATGGTGCGAATGGGAGGGTGAGATACAGCATCTCCATGGGCGACGATAACCGCGACTTCGCTATATCGGAGGACGGCGGAGTGATCAGGGTGGCGAAGAACCTGAATTTCGAGCGCAAATCCAGGTACCACTTGACGATTCGAGGGGAGGACTGCGCGTCGGAAGTCGGGGAAACACCGCGTGACGACACCGCCCAGATCACCGTCACCGTCCTCGATATAAACGACAACGCACCGGTATTCCTCGACTCGCCGTATCTGGCGTACGTCATGGAGAACATGGTCCCACCTGGGGGAGGATTCGTGATACAGGTAATCGGAGTAGAAGAGTCTACTCTGTGTTACGTTCGATTACGATCTGGAACGTTAACCGTCTGCATTTTGTCCTGCAGGTTAAGGCTTACGACGCGGACACTCCACCTTACAACGACCAAGTGAGGTACTTCTTGAAGGAGGGTGACACAGATTTGTTTCGGATCAACGCGAGCACAGGGGACATATTCTTGCTCCGACCTCTCGACAGGGAACTGGTCCCGGAATACACCCTCACTCTGGTGGCCATGGACACCGGTGAGTTCTTTGTAATAATTCAAATCATACCTTACGTAGAGAGAAAGCTGAATGACTTGGAATAGGTCACGCAAACTTAACCCGTTAACTTCATAATAAACACTCGACACTGTGCCGTCCGCAGATCGAATTGAAATTGCTTCGTTTGGCCCGGATTGTTCTCGGTTGGACTGACTGATAGTTTTCGCATGGCCCCGCAGTTGTGCCACCGGCATTTCCCAGATAGTTTTCGCATGGCACCACAGTGGTGTTAATTAAACACCTTCACGCCGGCGTGTACGACCGGCGACTAATGGTCACTCGCGTGTCTAATGGTGCGTTTTTACACGCTCAAGCTATTCGCACAAGTCAATCTGTGCAAACGAACTGGAATGGAATATCGCCGTTCACACGTTCAGTTCGATTTGCGCGGTTGTGAAAGGGAGGAACCCCGAAAATTGTAGTTTGTTGTGCCCGAAATGGAAAATCTGGACGAAAGGTAAGAGTCGCGAATCAGGATTTCGTTTCGAACGAGCAAATTACCAACTGCATCGGTATCGTCCGAACGTAATTTCTGGACAAAGGGACAGATTTCTCCTCGGAATCCAGGGACAATTCCATTTGTACCTGACCCGAAGGACGCGAATAGAACCTTGGAAAATTTCCGTCGAAGTCTGCGCGGGTGCTGGCTTAGAAATCGTAGGAACGGTTTAAGTGGTGTATAAAAATTGAGACAGAAATTCAATACGGGGAGAAAAGTAGGTTCGTAAGAAACGAAGGACAAAGGAATCGCGCGCAGAGTCGTATTCCCTGCAGGACCTTTGGGACGCGCTTTAGGGGAACGGCTAAATAGGTGTGTACCTGGCGCGATCTGCACAAAGGCTGGCATTCAAAGGGTAGCCAGTATTCTTCGGAGAGAATATTTTTCCGGCCATCGGCGCTGACCGGTCTTAGCCTCTGTGTAAACTGGTTGCGAATTAGCGCGGACAAAGGACTTAATTATGTGGGGTTTGGCGCTTTGACTAACAAAAAAAAAAAAAAAAAAAAAACAAAAAAAACAAAAAAAAGACGAAGGACGACCAGCGTAAAAACTGATTTTAGTGCCGAAAGGATGCGTCGCGCCCTTCTTAAACGCGGAATCGCGGTCTTAAACGCCCCCGACCATTCGGTCGTTCGAAATTGAAGGGTGACATTTTTTCGCTTGGGTACACGCGCGTGACAAGATAAAGAGAAAGATAAAGAGCCGAGGAGATATATGTAGAACCACCGTCTTAACACTTTATCTACCGGGCTATCTAGAAACAGACTTTAATTAAAAAAAAAATTTGCTACAGTATCGTATGCCAATGCCTACGCTAACAATAATTCCTCCGATGATACTGTTACCGGATACATTGAAAGCCAAGTCTGTTTCCAAACACTGAACACTGTATGTGGACAACCATCGACGCGGTAAATAAATTCGAATAGCTAAATACCGCGATTAAAGAGCCGTAAAATAGGCTTCCGGTAAATAAAGTGTCGAATAAAACCGAGTTCCGTCGCGATTGATTTCTAAACGAATGTCCCGTACGACACCCGGGTGGTGCAAACACTCGAGAGGGTTGCAGGGAAGAGGACGTCGACGAACCGTCGCACTCCCCGCGAATAGACGAAACAATAGACGGACGATATATGGGATGGGTTTAAGTAATGAGCGGTAATATACAAATTGGATATAAATTTGTGGGTTGTTCGATGAGATTCTTTAAGCGGTGGGTAGTTGCTCGTCGAAATCTTTTTTATCGTTCGTTTCACCGTCGGTAGTCCCCTCGAAGGGCGCCCCTCGCCCCGGTCGCACCGCCGCCGTCCCCTGCCCCTCTGGTTGGTCAGGCCATCAGGCCCCCGATGGCCCAATCGGTCCCCGCCGAGGTAGACAAGCCCGCAGAGTTATGACGCGCGATTATGATAATCGCTCTCAAATGCCTTCCTCTGCCTCGACGCTGCACTCTCTTTCTCCCCACCCCCGGTTTTCCCGTCGTTCTCCCTCCCCCCCCTCCACTTTCTTCCCTCCCCTTCTCCTCTTCTCTCTCTCTCTCCTCTCTTCTCTCTCCTCACTCCCGTCCCACTCCCTCTCCATCGGCTTTTGCTTACTCGGAGCCCTTCGTTTCCTCTCTCTTCGAAGCGAGCCGCGCCGGGGCAACCCGTCTCTCTCTCTCTCTCTCTCTCTCTCTCTCTCTCTCTCTCTCTCTCT